AGCGCTTAATCACTGGCGTTAACTAAGGGTACTTCTATCCATCACAAGTTAACTACCAAATGTGTGTGCGTAAACAATTAAAAATTCATTCATTCATCAATCAACCGTTCTTGATTAACCGATTAACGTACCCGTATTACCCCGCTTCACGATCAACCGGAAGTCATATTCCAACGGTTTGCCTTAGAGATCGGGAAGTGCCGTGATTGTACTTGTAACGCGTCCAGTGATTCTGTTTTCTTACGTTACTTTATGCAAACGGCGAAATGCAGTGTGACCTTTCGAACTGTGTATGCCGGTATGACTTCGTGCATGTCCAGCAGTGGCGTAACGAGCCTAATAATTTGGTGGCCATGGCCCACCCCAAACAAATAGTTATACTGGACATTGTTCAGTAATGGTGTTAACACTTTATGTAAAGCTTACGGTGTACTGGCAAGCTGATGGTGTACTGGCAAATTTTCAAAAATTTTGCTTTCGACCAAGCCCGCTTATTAGTCCCATATTTTCTGTGGCATCTGCCACCTTTTATCGGTTACCGGCTGCCAGAGTCTCCAGGTTTTATTCCTTGCCATGCCACTGGCAGCGCCATTGGCAGGTGCCACTGCCAGGTTTTACACCCTGCCCAGGTTTCCCCACAGTAGCGCAGTGAAAAGTCGAAATCGTAAGCGCAGAGTTATGTATTTCCGACGGAGACCGTATAAAATCCGTTAATAATAATCATGTAACTAATATACGTAGTAATAATATTTGGGTTGTTGACAGGTCAGAAGAGGATGAGCCAGAAGAGCCGCCTACTTACTGTGCTTGCTCAAAGTGGATGCCTGTCCTACGTTTCCTGGTCCTTGTCCTTGCCAGACCGTTGATGTGGTACCTGCTACCGTGGCCCCTGATGCGGTTCCTTCTACCGGAATTCCTACATTTACCCGGCATTTTATTGCTGTCGACGATCATTCTGGCATGGGCGTATTACGAACTGATGCAACATGTTAGAATTCAATGGAGAAACGGCGATTTTCAACCGATTTTAGACCGACTGAGTCAGCCGAAAACCGCAGATACCCAAATTAACCTTCAACCACACGAAGATATCCAGGTACTAAATGCTGATTCTTAATAACACACCTTCGGTCAGTCTTGCTCCATACCTGTTACCTTCGTGTTAAAGATCTTCGTCCTTCTTACGAATAGTAAGCAGCTGTGCATAAACCGGCATTAACGGCAAGTGCCATCGGTGTGTGAAATTTGTGCGCCTAGAATTTGTTAACCTCGAAGGAATTTACAGAATAATTTGTGCTGAATATTTGTGCAGAATATTTTCTGTAAGAATTTCCCTGCATTTGTATTTCTGTACGACTACATTTAGACCAAATTGCAGTTTATTGTATTTTCTTTGAAATATTTCTGTTTGTTTTATCGAAAATGTACAGTGATTCTAAAACTATCGCTGTGCCATGAAAATGTTGTTGGCCCTGCCTTGCGCTATTTATGGCAGTTTATATTGGATGAGAATAAATATATGCAAACTATCAAAACTCACACTTTGAAACTTTCGAAGTACAGTACTTCGCATGGGGCCTTAAGTTTTCCCCTCATACAGTACGGGAAATTTTGTTTTCCCCCGCACATGTGCCGCTTAGTCGCTGATATAATTTATTTTAATTGGTTTCCTTTGTGTACAACAGCAATGATTACACACTACGGTTACAAGTTCCAAAAACAACCAAAATCATTCCCTTCCCCAAATTTACTTTTGCCCGGCAAAGTGCCTAAAACTGCGGCAGCGTTTCCCTTCATTATCGCCAAACTGATGCGTTGTTTCAAGAAGGCGGTAGATCGGCTTTCTCCTGTCTTTCCCCGAATTAGGCGTCCAACGAAGCTGACTATATCTTTCGCGGCTTCTCCAAGCGCGCCAAGCGTTTCCACCGCGAATGGATAGAGCATATACTGTTCTCCGAGGCAACGGTACTTTTGTCGCTTCCGACTTTCCGCTTGCCGAGCCGCTGCACCAGCCGCTTTTGCAGTTCCTTTAAGGTACGACTGTGCCATTGTATCTGCGCATGTGGCATCCCATGCCAGCTGTTTTCCATCACGGACGGGTACCAGAGTAACTCCATCCGGCCGCATGCCATTGTCTCCCGACATTCCCTTGGGCTCTAGTTCACTAGGAATACCCGCCGCAAAAAATCCACGATGAAGAATGCTGTTTAACTCGGAATGTAAGCTCCATCTGCCTTTGTTGTACAAGCAAGACAAGCCATGGTGACCGTCCGGGGTTACCGGAAACGAGCATGCTTGGCAGTCGTGATTAGCTACCACAGGTAAGCTTAGTCGCTTACACGCTTAAAGCTGACTGCAGTTTAAAGCCGCGTGCGCTGCGGCAACTCATCTGAGTTGCCTCTGCTCTTTCTTGCTCAGTTGCGCAATCGGATATGCCGAGTTGGCCAGAAACCGGTTTTTAGCTGCAGCCAGCTTTTTAGGCTGCACTCGTGTATGAACATAAGCGACAGCGGCACATGTTGCGGGGGAAAACAAAATTTCCCGTACTGAATGAGGGGAAAACTTAAGGCCCCGCTGCGAAGTATGCCAGTTGACCTAACAAATAAAAAATTATTTATTTTTTTTGTACTTCTTGTTATATCCGCACGGGTATTTTACACAGTCATGCCCATGTCAACATGCTGCGGCACAAGAAGTTTAATGTGTAATGTTCTTTAACGTCCGCCCACAATTGCCACAAAATCTGGGTCAAAACCCAATCCGAGGCAGCAGACTCGTCATAATCCGACAAAAGTGAAGCACAAAAATATTTGTAGCAGTAACAGAAATAGCAGGAAAAGAAAAGTTCACTTCTACATTTCGATTAAAGACGCATGGTCAGCATTGTAAAGTTGTTTGAATGATGGCACACACTTCCATTCAACATCATTTAAAGCTGTCGCAAATCTGCTGAGGCTTTGATAAGCTTCAGCTGGAATCCGCAGATCGTTCCAAATAGTTTTAAATCAGCACACGATACTCGACGAATACTCGGCTTAGTCGAAAAGGGAATGTTAGGAATTATCTCTTCCTCTAATTATTTCACTATAAATTGCGCTTTCGCGAAAGGGTCGGCCAAGATTATCTTTGCCTCCCTTTTGCCTTTGCCTTTTCACTTTGCCTTTTTCAACTTCACATTTACCTTTGCCTTTGCCCCGTCAAAACCTTACCGTCCCATTTAACCTTCCCAAAACGCTGTTTTATATACCCTTTGCCGTCGGCTGTAACCGTTGCATGACACAGCACCGTCAAGCACTTTACCATTTTCGGGACTTATAGTCGGCATCCAGGTTGGGAAATTACTGCTCTTATTGTTAATACAAACATTAAACAATGACATCGCCCTAAAATCCAAAGTCGATGATTGTGACCGTCATTACGCAGAAACTGGACAACTTAAACCTTAAAGGTTGCATCGATTTGGAAAGGACTGTAAGTTACAATTCTGAACCTGCAAAAAACTTTTAGAATTTTTTTGAAAAGTCGGCATCCTTAATCTGGTTAATGCTTTTGCGTTCTTGTGCAACGGGACATACATAGTTCCTTCAACCCCGGGCAGTGGGCACTAACAAAAGGATCAAAGGGCAAAGCATCACTAACATTTCCTGTGCTATTATCACAAGCCCATTGGCTGTAGGCTACTCTAGGATACATTCAGGATATCAGAAGTTGAGTCCTACGGAGTACCATTTGTCCAAGTAAAGCTGCGGTCCTCCAGAAGTTGGAACAAGCTCCGTACATACTGAGCGGCAGTACTCACACAGAAGCCGAAAATTCTAAACCTTCTGTTTGCACTAATTACGCCGAAATGTAAGGGTTGGTGGCCATTTCCAAAAAACAGTCTCAAATTCTAAATTTCTGGCGATAAAGTGTTGGTATAGTGGTTTAATGCACAGTCTCAGCCAACCGTATTTGAACCGGAAGAAGCACAGCCAAGTTTTTTGATAGTGGGAGAGATTTTATCAAGGCGTCATTAAGAGAAGGGGGGGGGCAAGGGGATCGTCATTCGGTCTATCATTATAATTCGTTCATCACTATCGCCAGTTTTGTCCTTTGCTATGACAAATTCATGAAACTGACAAAGGAGGATTACTAGCGGCGCCATACTCTAATTCTATGTTAATAACCAGAGCAAGAATTTCCCAAACGTGGATGCAGACGCTGAAGTTCAAAAATGGTAAAGTGTTTGACGGTGGTGTGTCATGCAACGGTTATAGCCGACGGCAAAGGTTATTTAAAACGGTTTTGGGAAGGTTAAATGGGTTAAATGGTAAGGTTTTGATGGCGGCAAAGGCAAAGGTAAAGGTGAAGTTGAAAAAGGCAAAGTGAAAAGCGAAGGCAAAGGGGAGGCAAAGGTGATCTTGGCCGACCCTTCGCGAAAAGGTCAAATTGTGCATAATGGGCTTGTGATGTCCAGTGGCCAGTCATTAGCAGTGATTAACAGAGCGTCGCTCTCTTTCATGTAACAATCAGGCTTGACTGGGATAGTTGGTTGTATACTTGGCCGTAATAAGTTTGAGCAGTAAGGCGTGCTGCCAAGGCTTTTACTGTATACATCATTACATGTTGTGGAAGTAAAATAATTACTGTAGCTATGGTTGCTGTGTTCATTTCATTCAACATACAGGCGACACCAGTACAACCAGATCACCAACTCCAGTTTCGAGCCAAAAATCGATACTGGCATCGATCTGTTCTCTGTACTACTGATTTACGCTTTTGCCTCTAACATGTTGGAGCAAAAGCGTAAATCTGTAGTACTACACTGTTGTTTACGGCAAATCTCCACTGCTTTGCAAATCGATCGTGAATTGCATGGCACAGCGGAGCGGTTATACAGAGACGCTCGTCCTAGCCCGGTACCACATCCTGTTAATACATTCCTTCCTTGCATAGTATACATGTGTCATGTGATAAAGCGAAGGTAGACACTAGATCGACGCTCAAAAGCTACTGGAAATCTCAAACGCGCATCATCGAACCCATACTGCAAGTTTACAATCCAACACTATTTCAATATGCATGAATTGTTGTGCAGCTGAAAACTCCCTAGTCAACAGAAAATGAGCAAATATCGTGCAATCTTTCAGTCCTTTCTCAAGAGAGATCTTTCTTGGGCCTATCAGGAAATCGTCGCTGAAGCCTCTGTGGTGCTTTGGGTGACTTGCCAATTGTGCGTAACTTTGGCCACTCGCATCCTTCCTAGCTGGAGACCAACGAGAAGCGCTTCGTGGGATGCAACGTATTTCGATGGCGTCCTCAGTTTTCTTGGATACGTGAGTGCTTAAGCAGATCTTTGGGTTTATTCCAAAAAATAACGCGCAGTGTGCAAATAATAACTCCCTTCACTGTTATCAGTTAAGTGTAATTTGACTGCGTATATTGGACTAATAATTGGTCATTGTACGCTGACGCTTTAGCAGACGGAAACACAAAATTTTAATATTTTAAGTTTGTTGTTTGTGAATGTACGATATCTCGCTTCACACTGCATTACAAAACGGTTACCGTTTGGTTCTCTTTTCGTTGTTAGAATGTCACAATGGAACAAGAAGAACGGATGACCGAATATATTTGTACTTTTGCGGAATAAGAAAGTACAGATAGAGATAAACTGATTCTTTGTGTTGCGACAGGGCCTCGATGGTTGTTTTTGGCATCGTGTGGCCTTTCACTGGCGAGAACCTGTCGAGGGCACGCAAAATTCCAGGTTCAGTTCCATATTCTTTGGACATATTGGTATATCGCTGTCTCTGGGCATAACGGCCACCTTTTTCCTGTGGTTTGCTGGCTACCTTTTTGCCAACCGCCATTGGCGTTTACCTCAGTACACATCACACCACTTGCCACTCTGTCATTCATTAAGCCGATACTTCGGTCAAGCATACAACGATTCACCTTATGTAATCAATGCAGAATCCGAATCAGAAGCTGGCGGGGATCCTCAAAACACCGCTGACGCTGTACAGATACCCATATCCACTGCGAGCTCTTCGGCTCTTCAAGCTGACCAGCGACTGGCTTATTCCACCATAAATGATATTCCATACAGATGGCGAGGGGCTTTGAAGATAGGATTTTTGGGGGGTGTTATTATGCCGTTAACCTGCCTATCCATATTTTTGTGGGGGACCTTCTTGACAATACCGCTGGTTTGGTTAGCAGAATTTGTTACACGGATCATCGTCCTGTATTACGGAGAAGCAGCAATTTTTCCTTGTTGTGTTTTTATTATCACGGCACTCTCGATATACTGCTGGGGAAGAATGTGGGGATTGTGGATGCGGGAAAGTTATTTGTGGGCCCTGTGGAACAAGATCAGGTTTCAAATCTACTATTACGGTTAAACACTTTTACTTTACATTGAAATCGATTAACGCTTTCCCGATGAAAGTTTTATAGTTGATAGAACATTTTGCGAAAATGTCATAATGCTTATTTAATGCAAGCAAAGGAAGCGAAATCCTAGTGCGAACGGTATAGCGGATTTCACTGACCTTATTATCGCTTGGATGCATAAAGAAAAATGACCATTCACTGTCGTTAGATACTTTTTCGGTAAACATCCTCCGAAAACCATGCACTGAATTTTACGAACCGGTTTTATTGCGCAGGTTATTATGCGGATGGCGACCACCTGCCCTAGTACTCGATGCATGTCCCAGACAGTGTGAAATGAATGAATCCAACGCCAAGCTTGTACGGATCGGGGAAGTGTGGTTTGGACTTTTCGCATACGGTGCTGCTGTTTTGTTCAACGTGTATCCGCTTTACGAAACGTTTCCCCAGATTTCTATTGATGCCTGGAAGCCGGTAACTGTCACCTTTAACTGCGTGGTCAATTTATCGCTGGAATTCCAGGTAAGCGTTACGGTGGAGTTTTGTACGGGCGTACGACAATTTTTTCTTAACATTGTAAGATATACAGCAAGTGTGTTTATACTTGGTTTAGCAGTAATAAGCAGCTTAACCATCCGATGCATGCCCATGCGTATTTATCAACCATTTCCGTTCGTGCAGAGCACAATCGTACCACATGAATGCTCATCTTGAATTTTATACGCAGATGCTGACACCGAAGATGGCTGTGCTCTCGCATTGGGTGGATGAGAGCTATCTGCTGGAAAATTGGCTGGAAAACGATACCTACGCAACCAGTTTCCGGGAACCATTGGTTATATCGCCAGTAACGGGAATCGTTCTTATGTACTGGAGCGGAACAGTTACCGTTTTGGCGGTGCTGGCTATGATACCTCCGATTGTGGCTCTTGTCCTCTTACCTTGCATTATGGCAAGTGCTGATCAAGCACCGCAACCGCCACGGCAACGGTAGGAAACCAAAGCAGAAACCTATTTTACCAACTGCAGTACAAGACGGAGCATGTGTCCCATAGTAGCGTAATAAAAAACGCAGGATTCCTGCCCCTATCACGCTAGTGATATGGAGGAATTTTTAGTACGAATTTCTGTTAAGATAATCCAGAGCAGAAAAAAAAATCAGAAATCGGCTAGTCGGTCCGTGTACAAAAATTCCAAAATTCTTTTCATTGGTAGTGTGCACTGTGCAGCACGAAGACAACCATATGCGCATCAGATCTTCAGTACTAGTACTCGATTCAAACAGAAGCCTTTGTCTGTGTAATTTGGGGTGGAATAAGCCAACTTCTTTTTTTTAACCTACATTATACGTCTTGTGCGTTGTTACAGGTGCAACGAGACAACTAATTTTTGTGGGTGCGCAATGTGGATGCCTGCCCTACGCTTCCTTATTATTATCATAGCCAGACCGCTGATGTGGTACCTGCTACCGTGGCCCGTGATGCGGTTCCTTCTACCGGAACATCTGCAGCTGCCCGGCATGTTCTTCCTATCGACGACCATTCTTGCATGGGCGTATTATGAATGGATACGGTATAATGGATTACAATGGAGATTTGGTGCTATTACATCGTGTTTATGCAGATTTTTCCAACGGAAAGCGGCACATGCATAAGAAACCCTTCAACAAGATGAAGGAAATGCTTTAACGATTCGAAGATGATTCTCAAAAGCACACCGTTGGTCAATCTGCCCTTTCTACATATACTTCGTGCCACCAAGCTCAACAGAATGCACCGCAAAACTTCCATACTGACGACTAGGCGACTAAAAGAACAGAAAATTGTCCGTTACTTAGTCAACTTGATTCAGAATTTCATCCTCAAGATTGTATTGCATCAATGTATAGTATGTACCTATTTATTTCTTACGCCGGTTATTTTTTGTCATAGCGGCTAATGGCCTACAAGTAAATGCTGGAAACTTTGGACAATTTGGGAATGACCATTTCAAAAAATTAAGAAACCGCCTCTTACAGAGTAAGCTGTAGATAAAATTTAGTCAACGAATAAATTCCAATTCAGAAAATATTAACTCCAGCAACAAGCCAGGATTCGATTTGCTGTTACTGTACGCAAAAGTGAAAACCATAATAAATATCATGACGATGCATGCGGGAACTTCCAATCTGTCTCCTTTTACCAAAACGTGCCACACTGGGTGCACCAGCGTTCAGAATCAAAATTGGCCCAGTTTGTAACATGTTACAAATCCCTGCATACTTAGACGGAGTCAGAAATAGCTGCCAGTTGCCGTCGTCTTTAAAATCTTGATAAGAATCACATTAGCTTGGTCGTCCGGATTTTTTACGTTGGTAATCGGATGCAAGTTTTCCACGCTCCTTGACTTTGTCAGAGCGGTTTCCGGTGATTACAGCTGCCCGGCATCGTACTGACACTAACGCTTGTCAGCGCAGGGATACACGTTGCGCGGAATTAGATACGCGAAGTTGGACCCTAGTGCAGAAATGGCTGTGTTTTGCACGATGTCTGCTTCATTCCCGCGAGCCGAAAGTTGCCGATGCGGAAGTTAGCAAACAGCCGGAGGAAGGAGAAGTCCTTGTCGGGGAAAACTAATTTTCATCTGCAGACCGATCGGTCACAACCCCGGCGGTTGGCTACTGTGTCATACTGATATTCCCTTTTGCGTTACGTGACCTTTAACGCTTCCACGCTAGAACACAGTTGCATTTCAGGAGAAACCATGCATACAATTAACGACTTGTATATCCATGAAGCAAACTATTTCATTTAATTAAACAGCTCGAAAGAAGAATAAATCGACAAGTAAACAAATTTTGTTAACATTCAAACACCACTAAACTGAAAATACAATAGTAAGTTTAAAGATGTGGTTGTGTGTTCCATAAGAAATTTAAAAATTAGGAGCTGTGACAAGTTGTCGGTAAGAATCTGTTTTACAGTTCGCCGACGCTCGCCGAAGAATCTGTTCGCCGACGACATTTTCCCAAAAGAAATCCGCGAGCAGAACTCGAATATACCGTCCAAGGTATCCAAAACCCGAAAGTCAAGGAGGAGACAGGTCTGCAGTGATTCAGGTAACACAACGGCCGGAGTTCGGAAGCTGTGTTTCAGTACGTTGGTACAAACAGCAACAGCATAGTAATGCATATAGCTACAGGTGTATGACCATAGGGATACAGAGCACATGATACGAATACGTATTATGACAGTACATGCGATACTTGTCTCCTTTAAAACCGTTTTTGGTCACGCCCACTTGACCACTGCAGAACAAACTAGTTTCTCACAATTCCCGCTATGCGTGTTCTGTCTTCGAGCAGAAAATGGCGTTAAGCTTAAGGAGAGCCCTCTGGCCGCTCCTCACCAAGTAATTAGGGAGACTCGAGAACGAATTTGTGGCGCAGGGAATCTTTAATCAGAACAATATGCTGTTTAGAATCCACCTCTGCACCTTCCTCATTAGATAAATAGATGATTTCTGCTTCCGCCGCTCCGGCTGACCAAACCGGCGTCTACGCGGCATAAAGCTGCCGTTTATTCCGCTGTATTCGGATTTGGAGTGAGCCGTGGGTCGCATTAGATGATTTTTTCGAAACCTATTGACTCATACATAATAATATAATTATGTGATGGAGAACCCAAGTGGAGGTTTTTACTCGTATTTGTTATTCCGACGCTTTCGATTTTTGGGAAATGTTTTGCGTCAGGTCTTACAAGTTGCCCTATCCTGTTAGCAACAAAAGCTCTTTTCTATTCCTTACTGTGTCATTTGGCACTCAAGTACTTGTACGGTAAAAATTGCAAAAACATTAACGACGTTAGAACGATTTCTTTTTAGCGAAAGCTTTCTAGAACCAGAATCTAAAAAAAAATTTAGTTAAACGTAATTTTCACGTGTGGTTTACAATAGGATGTCGACGGATGTTTCTGGGATGATGCGGCCTATTACTGGCAAGGTTCAGACGAGGATGCGCGAAATCCCAGCAGCCAGCAAATACAGATACGCTTCGGGTACATCGGCGCATACCTGGCTGTCTGCGCAACGGCGACGTTCTTCGCGTTTTTCTGCTGCTACCTTTTTGCCAATCGTTACTGGCGCCTACCGCAGTACGAATCATACCACGTGCCACTCTGCCCAGCATTCAGCCGGTATACTGGATGTGTCTGCAGCGATTCACCGTACGTTATCAACGCAGGATCCGAGCCAAAGGTTGGCTGGGATATAGTTGACAGGGGGGAAACCGAGGGGACCTCCACAGCCCCGGAAAGTCCCGAATCTTGGGAGCTGAACTGCGGGTTGTTCTTCCTAGGGTAGGTTTTTCGTTGTTTCCTGCTCTTTTGGCGATTCTTTGGTTGACCTTCTTCACGATACCACTGGCATGGTTAAGCGGGTTGGTCACACGGATTATCATCATGTACTACGGACAAGAAGCCATTTTCCCATGCTGCGTGACCTTTATCGCCACTCTCTCCATATACTGCTGTGGAAGAACATCGGGATTGTGGATGCGGGAAAGCTATTTGTGGTCTCTCTGGAACAATATCAGGTTACTCTTTTATACGAATAATTCTTAATTTCACTGAAACCGGTCGGGCTTTAATTTCTGATAATATTACTATTTACCTGATAGTAGTACGTAGTAATTTTTACTGTTGTCGTTAGTTACGCAGTCTTAGGTTAAAAATCCAGCCATCCGGTATAATCCGCAATCAGTAGCCGGTAACCGATTATCACAAACGCGGCCTCGATTGCACAGTGGTATATGGGGATGTCAACCGCCTTCGCTGCCAGTCGATGATACTTCCCGCGGATGTCAAGAGTGCGAACCCACTGCATATGATGGTTTGCGATGTATTGAAGTGTGGATTGGGATGTGTATGACGGCACTGCCGTCGTCAGAAATATGGTCTAGCTTCTGGACGAAACCTTTCCTCAGATTTCTGGTTATAAATGGAATCCTGTTTCTCCTGCTGTTAGCTGCGATTATAATTCCTGGGTAGACAGCCAGGTAAACGATTCAGTGAAGTGTTATCGAAAACAGGATTATCAAAAAATATTGTTAATGACTTTTGTATTGAACACACGCTATTATTTATTTGTTTTATTTATTATTGTTTATTTGTTTTATTTATTTAGTATGAATTATGTTTGGTGTTTGGTATGTCAGTTTATTATGTTTAGTATGTCTGTGTTGTGTTTAGTATCTGTTTAGTATGTGTTTATCATGTTTAGTATGGGTTTAATATGTCTGTTCAGCATGGTTATTATGTTTTCTTTATTCCGTTTAGTATGTCTGTTCGACAAAATAATTGCCGACAATCTTATTACAGTTCGTGTTTTCTAACGCTATCCTCGTACGGTGGGTGTTGCATCGGTTATGGAAAATAGACAGGCGTCTGTTTACTCTGTTTACTCGTATCTATACGATCGTTATGGTATAAAATTTGGTGCATTTTACGTAGGTGGTTTAATAAGCCTGCTGTGTACATAAACAATCGCAGAGGCAGCAGTAAACGCCCAGACAAAGCATATTCTCGCAAATCGATAGCTCATTTCGCTTTCCCGAATTTTCGTTTTCTTTCCGATATTCTGCCATTACACGGGCCGCTGATAGCGTAAGTGTTCTGCTTTACAAACTGATTTTAAAAGCTCACGTGTTAAAAGATGTGAAGACGTGTATGACGCTTCAGAATAGAAGTTAACGTGGTATACCTAAAGTAAGTGGTGCAGCAAAAACCAAAACTTTATTGTTGAACGTACTATCTCAAGTGACCGCGTGATGTTGTGTGATAAAAGCACAGAGGAAAATGCACACTGTCGAATTTTCCAGCCAAACCGGAATCTGGGCATCGAGTTAAGTGGAATACTTAGAAATTCATGCTGGAAATCCGCTGACATTGGCGGATCGACTCGTCTGTGTGATGAGTCAGGATGATAAGGACGATTTCGATTTCAGTATTACCTGGAAAAACGCATAAATAAAGCAAAGCGTGTACACATATCGGCATCGCTACGGTGGCATTTTGCGGGACACAGTTGATCAACAAAATAAGTATGCCGAAACTGGAAGAGCTGCTCGGTCTCGCCGTCTTGTTACTCTTGGGTAAGCGCTGTGACCTTTTTTTCTTTTTAAAAGTTAACTTTATCATTAATACAGGCGCTATGTTTCGCTATGCTGGAAAACAATACTGAAGCATGCTTTGCCTTGCCGTTTAATTTATTCGTACATCACTTACTGTGCTCTACAATGGCGCTCTTCTTTGTGTTTACTGTGGTTGCAAAACAGTTGTGCTGTACCGTCTTGCTTCCTTTGAAGCTTCATACGGAAAGACTGTTGCTTATTAAATGAATATTTTACGAATTTTTAGAATCATAAAAAATATAACTTTTGCCGTATACGGATATGCTATACATAAATCTATTGGTATATATTCGTAGATTTTGATATAATTCTATACCTAAGTACATTGTCAATAGCATGTTTACGTGAATACCGGTGATGGCTTAAGTACGATGAAATTTTGTATACTGTTACTATGCATTTTCCAAACGTCGGTCCAGCCAGAAATAAGTGCATGGTGCTATAATATCTACACATCCACCGCAATAGGTGCCAGTGTAATTTGATACTGCAGGTCTCTTCTTCAAGGGAGCCCAAGCCGCACCTGATGGTTATGGCTGGGGAGGCGGTTGTTATGGCGGCGGCTGGGGTGATGGCTGGGGTCGTGATAAATGATTGGAAATCAGCCGCGGCATCCGAAGTCCTGCAGAATTATTCACCCCATATAAAGACAGTTTACCCTGAAATAACCGTAGTTTTCCCAGCTTAAGAAGGCCGGTATTCAGACGTCCATCAACATGGACTGTGTTGTCCCGTTTATGCCTGCGTAATTGCGCTTTTGGTATTTTCTGATAGACTGTATAAGCCTGGCTTAATCAAGCATTTTTAGGTGAAAATAAATATTTATTAAGCTTCGCAGCGGTCAAGCTACTGTGGTACACACAAAACTTGTTCCGGCACCCATAAGCTTCAAGTGCGACTACGTACTTGCATGCACGTCTGCTAACTATTATCTGAGATTTTCTCATAATTTTCATCTTACTAGCAGCCTTATCGAATTGTACTTAAATAGTGGACGTCAAACGGCTACAGGAAAAATGTACCAAACGCTTCCGCGCGACCCAAAAGATTTTGTTCTTTACGGCTGTTTACACCATGATCCGCATCACGTGGAAAACAACGGTTCTGGTTTCATAACTCAGGTAGTAAATTGAGCGGAAAATACTTATTACCTGCTGTGTTAACCAATAGCCGATGTTTGTAGTAATATTACAAAATCCTAACCATCTATATTAAGGCGTACAATCGCCATCGGGTGGATGTGTCTGATAGTTTTCCTGTTAATCACTGATTAAACAGGCTGTTGAATGAAGCGATGTTTTAGTTAAAAAAAGATAATTTTAATGTTGGTCTTCCGTCGTACATGGCGGCAATTTTAACGGCTAAATTTTGAAATAAAGTTTGCGAGTCTGCGGCAGTGTTTGTTTTCACTTGTGACCTTTTCGTGATTGTTAGCAACACTACCATCTCAGATGTGATATCTGGTTTCATTGGTTCCGCCTGATAAGCGTACCATTTTGATACTTTTTAACCTGACTCTTTCAAATATGTACATATATCATATTATATGTGTGTTTCCTTAGGAAAAAGCATTGCTGGTTGTTTTGCGCAGCTATTTATCGTTTTTGCCGATTCCGATTGGGCTATCCTGTTCGTCAGCAAGCACTGTACCATAATTTTGTGTTGTGTGTGCGCCAGACATGATAAAAATTTAAAAGCAATCATTATTTCAGTTTGGATTTTGTACTTACTGCATTTGAAATTTACAGAAATACATAATATGTAATGCAATTCGTTAAAAGTCTGTGTAAAAACTGACTCGGCAGGCCTATGTAATACACTGTACCAGTACATACGAGTGCTGCGCATGCACAGTACATTCTACAGTACCAAAAACCAACCACGCTGAAGCTCTGATTGCCGTGTACCTATACGACATAATACGAGCAACTAGGAAGTACAGTGTACTTCTTTCAAAATTAATACGACATCGGGCGTCAGTTTAAACAGGCTACATTAATAGCACTTTCGATAAATCGATAACTGTCATCGATCCGAGATGTAAGCATTGTCTTCCAGTACAGCACAACCTTTGCTTTGCAAACCCATGGACACACTATACCACGGCAGCAAATTATACTGCGCGTGCTGGCCTTGTAAGACCGAGATCGATCGTGTAGTACGAGTTTCCTTAGAGTATTTACATAGAGTGCTCTGCAATGTGTTGCAACATCGCTGTGCACTGTGCAGTGTATTGAAATACTGAAATATTTTTATATACTACAAAGCATTCAGACCGATAGTCCAAATCCAACGCTTTCCCGTTATACAGAATTCTGCACAGTTAACTGAATTAAAATGAGACCATGTTGATTCATGCAAAAAAATGAGAAAACATCGTCGAGGTTGTCAGTCCTTTTTGCATAGACATCATTCCTGGGCTTACCAGGAAATTGTCGCAGAAGCGTTTGTCGTGCTTTGGGTGGCTTGTCAACTGTCGTGGATATTTGCTGCTCGCATTCTTCCTAACTTGAGACCAACGAGGGCCGATCCGCGCAGGAAAACGTATCTCGACTTCCTTCTGAATTCGCTGGGATATGTAAGTGGCTGTGTAAAAGTTATAATTAGGTTTAACCAGATAAACTGGCTGTCAAACATTTCTATCCACTTCGGATGTTACTTGCAGATCTACTTTATTTCAAAACGTATTTCCTTGATCCACAGGTGCAGAAGTGATGTGAAACCTTGTGAGCAATTGTACGCATCACAAACATCCGTTTGCACTTTGCGCCTTAGAGTTTAACTAACACTGCCGAAACAGAAGACAAAATCGCCGAGCTGTATTCACTTTATGCTTCGTGTTTCTTTAACTGTTTTTTATTTGATTACAGAGCGATACTTCTGTTGAATACATATTGCTGTGTGTCTTAAACAGGATCTTGACGGATGTTTCTGGGACCGCGTAGTCTCTTACTGGCAGGAATCCGAAAAAATTCCACAGAATCACAGCGTACTCTTTGGTTACATTGGTGCATACCTGACTCTTTGCGCAACGGCGACCCTCTTCCTGTGGTTCCTTAGCTATCTTCTAGATAGTCGCTCATGGCGTCTGCCTTCCTACAAAGCATATCACGTACCTTTCTGCTCCGCAGTCAGCCGGTTCTTCGGCTACGCCTACAGCGATTCACCGTGCTTTGTATCGGAGACGGTAGGTCGCAGCAGCGCAGAAGCAGCCGTAGATACTATGGAGGCCGTCACCTCCGGTGAGACGGATTCCGATTCTCAAACAAATCAGCAACCGACATTTCGCACGATCAAAGATGTCCCGGCTTGCTTCCGTGGATCGATTCGCTTTGGATACTTTTTATTTGCAGTGGTACCGTTTATACTTATATCCATATTTCTTTGGGTTTCTTTTTAACGACGCCACTGTCATGGTTGGCCGGGTTTATGACAAGGATAGCCGTAATGCTTTATGGCGACGAAGCAGTTTTCCCATGCTGTGTCACCTTTATCACGATCCTCTCCATATACTGCTGCGGTAGAATGTCGGGTCTGTGGATGCGAGAAAGCTATCTGTGGTCGCTGTGGAACAAGATCAGGTAAAATGTTCGGCTATATAGGTGCTACAACTTTTTCAACTTCCCTTCAAACGACCTGGTCCGTGATGATAGTCGATGATAAAATTTTTCAAAATGCTAAAGTTGTTAATCTAAATCAAATTAAATGTATATGTGAACAACAAACCTACGGGTAGTTTATCTGTTGCGCAGGACATTACGCGGAAGGCCAAGTCCACCAACATGCGATGCAGAACCACTCGGGTGCGAAGAAGATGAGTAACGTGTTTATGTTATGCGAGCTTGGGAAGTGTGGTTTGGACTGTTTTCGTACGGTGCGAGCGTTCTCGGCAACGTGGATCCTCTGTACGAACCGTTTCCAAGAACTGCTTCTTCGAAGAAAACTACCAGATATCAACGGAATTCTGGTAATATCTGGCAGCCTTTTTCTTTGGCTATAAACTGAAGTTTCAATTCCTCAGCGGACATCCTGGCAAACAACTCAATGGAATCGAGCAAAAACGTAAGAAGCGTAAAAAAATAATTTTCTAAAGCTTTCGTAACGGAAATGGCTCGGCAGATGGTACTGATTTTGTACTTATCCACTGGTGCATTTTTTGGTATTGTTTAACACCAGTCTAACTAAGCAACATGCGCGGTATTCGTAGTTTCTGAAGCCTGCCGTGGCTCTGGTTTCCTACTGGACGGATGTGAGCCAAATGTTGGGAAACACGACCAACGTATCCACTTTCGCAGACCTGTCGGTTATCTCACAAACAGCCGGAAGTGCTTTTGTGGTCTGGAGTGGGACGCTGACCTTCATATCGTTTGTACTTGCGTTTATGGGCGAGATCGGGTGTTGTAGCGCTGTTATCGGTTTCTGTCGCAGGGCTCGCGAAAATCCACAACCGGAAGGGGAGAGGTATGATTCCAGAAACACCAACTGCAAAGAATTGTGGACAGTTAACTACTAAACTGTATATTGTGGTCAGATCATGTGGCACTGAAACTCTGATTACCGTACACCTTTTATATGGCTATGCGACTAATGCGAGTAATACGGACGTCAACTGAGACCGGCTACAAACAGCACTTTCGATAAATCGATAAATTTTACCGATCGTTTCCCAGTTCCCACTAACCGAGATTTAAACTTTGTCTTTCTAGTACAGTATAACCATCCCTTCACAGATCGATGGAAATCGCTAAACAGAGGCGCTTCAATATCCTGGGCCAAACTATGCATGCTGCGCATGCTGGCCTAGTGAATCCCAGATCGATCGTGTACACCGCGTTTCCCTACAGCACTTACATACCGCAATGGGAGGGCGTAATTCATGACCTGCGCTCTACAGTGTATTGAAATATCGCTCTGCAGTATATTGAAATAATTACTGAAATGTCCACGGGTATAGCACAACATTGAAACCCGTGCAGTTACGCGGTGCGATGCTATCCCATTATGCAGAACTGTATGACAGTGAAATAAGTTAAAACAAGTTTAAGTCGATTCACGCACGAAAATGAGAAACTATCGCAGAGATTGTCGAGCTTATCTGCAAAGACATCAATCCTGGGTCTATCACGAAGTTGTCGCCGAAGCCTTTGTTGTGCTATGGGTGGCTTGTCAGTTGTCGGGGATATTTGCTGTTCGCATACTTCGTAACTGGAGACCAACGAGAACCGATCCGCGCAGTAAAAGCTCTTTCGATTTCCTTCTGAACCTGCTGGGATATGTAAGTGCTTTAAGTGGTCAAGTACTACGGTATGTATGCCGTGAACACGTAAAGCCAGAAAAATACTGTAGAGCATAACCCTGCACTTGAAAGCTTTTTTTACAGCTTAGAGAGACGCAGGCTGTAGGAGCACATTCACCATTCACATGTGCTGCCTATGACTAGGCAGGCAGAACATGTGAGTGCAGTGCAGTCGGCTCCTGTCGTACGAAAAGGCTGTCAAGTGCAGGGTTACTCTACAGTAACTGTATATATATTCTAACCACTTCGAATGTTATCAGGTCTATTTTTAAAAAATTCTTATCCATATTACACAGATTCAGAATAGTGCACAAAAGTAATACATAATATAGCAGACACTATGTCGCAACATTCTTCCTCCCGGTGTGCGAATTTTTGTTTGGAACACTGTTAAAAAACTTCGGCAACAACAGAGGGAAACACCGAGCAATAATCACTTTGAACTGTACACGTTTTTTAGTTTTATTTATACTGTACCTTTGCCCAGCGATGCATGCTGGTTTGTGTCTTACAATAGGATGTCGACGGATGTTTCTGGGATCGTGTGCTCTCATTCTGGCAAAGATCTGACGAAATTCCGCTGAATCACAGGCTTCACAGCGTGCGCTTTGGTTACGTTGGTGTGTACCTGTCCCTTTGCGCAACGGCAATCCTCTTCCTGTGGTTCAGCTGCTACCTTCTTGCTAATCGCTCCTGGCGTTTGCCTCTCTACAAATCATACCATGTACCGTTCTGCTCAGCTTTCAGCCGGTTCTTCCGGTACGCCCACAGCGATTCACCGTACGTTATAGCGGAGACGGTTGGTTGTGGCAGTGCAGAAGCTGCCGTTGATACCGTGGAGGTTGTCACCTCCAGTGAGACCGATTCGAACACTCAAATTGACCAGCGGCCACCGTTTTACACCATCAGAGATGTTCCCGCTTGTTTACGTGGATGGGTGAGCTTGGGATATCTCCTATTTGCTGTGGTGCCGTTTATGTTTCTATCCGTATTTGTTTGGGTGACTATTCTCACGATCCCACTGGTATGGACAGCCGGATTTCTGGCACGAATAGTTGTCATGCAGAACGGGGACGAGACAGTTTTCCCATGCTGCGTGGCCCTTATCGCCGCGCTCTCCGCTTACTGCTGCGGACGCATGTCAGGGTTGTGGATGCAGGAAAGCTATTTGTGGTCACTGTGGAATAAATTCAGGTAAAAATTTCGAACACGAAGAGCTACTGTACTGCACATTCTTAAATTACACTGTTAACGATTCGGTTTGCGGTGAAAGTTTCTCTTGGGAATTAATTAGATATGAAAGTAATAATTATTTTTAGTCGTAACCAAATTTGTCTATTTAAGTTCGGTAGCAGATCTCGACTACTTGGCAAAAGCAACCGTAATCCATAACAGATTTTCGCGAACTGGGTTCACTATGCAGGACATTACGCGATGGCCAACCGGTTCCGCTACAATTCGATGCAAACACAGCAAATCACTGCGTGTGCGAAGAAAACGAAACCCAGGCATATATTTTCCGCACATGGGAAGTGTGGCTGGGACTGTTTTCGTATGGTGCGGTCGTCCTGGATCACGCGGATTCCCTTTTCGAACTCAGTCATTGGCACCCATTCTGTTTGGCCACAAACTGCATCTCAAATTCCTCAGTGGATGTCACGGTAAGCATTCTCCGAAATCCAATAACGGTGTACGAAAGCGTTTTTGTATTGTTCTATGTTATTCCACAGTAAGTTTCATAGTTTTCATTGTGTACATAGTTTCTGAAGCCTGTTGTGGCGGTGGTTTCATACTGGACGGACGTGAGCCAGATACTGGTAAATACAACCAACGTAACCCTTGCACCGGACCTGTCGGTTATCTCTCAAACAACGGGAAAGGCTTTTATGGTCTGGAGTGGTGCGACTACCGCCATTGCGTTTTTATTTGCGTTTGGCAGCGAAATAGGATGTTGCATCGCTCTCTATTGTAGCGCTTGCGAAGCTCCACAACCGGCGCGGGAGAGGTATGATGCCAGAAACTGTAGAAGAACCACATTACTGCCGACTGCAGCCATTGCATTACACGATAATCACGATTAGACGCCCCTTACGCTAATCCATACTGCAAAAATCGTACACGCCATTTGGCTCCCACAAATAATTGAATCTGTAAACAGCTCTGTCAAGCCGTTGGTATTTTGTACAGGTCTGAATTACCATTTTGTGCCTGCTTACCGTGGATGGGGATGCTACGTATCATCATTCATTTCACAGCCAGACCGCTGATGTGGTACCTGCTTCCGTGGACCCTAACGCAGTTCTTGCTCCCGGAACAACTGCAACTCCCCGGCATTTTGTTGATATTGACAATCATTCTTGCATGGGTTGGTTATGCATGGATCCGACATGTTAAATTACAATGGAAAAACGGCGATATAGTATATTTTATGCCATTTTCACGCTGGCTCTATCGACGGAAAGCGACAGAAGCTCTAGCAAACCTTCACCCAGACGAGGAAAATGCCTTGTGATACACAACTAATTCGCACCAGCAGGCCGTCATTCAGTATTCATCTAACTAATCCTGCAACATGGCATAGATCTCGGTTTCCAGCATGAATAATATGATTAACAGGGAGTTGCCACCGGCGGCCCAGCCTTCAAGAGAACGGGCTTGAGATATCAGCACCGCGTTACAAAACGTGCAAATGCTACCGTCTCCGCGCACTCCAGAAAGAGTAAATGCTAATCTTCAGTCTTCCGCTATGTACAATTTTCCTCCAATTTCTGGTTTGGTTAGGGAAGCTTTTTCGGCTGCTATTGACAGCAATCTTAATTCGTCGGACATTCAATTAAGCGAAGCAGTGAAGTTTTAAATAAAAAGTAAGACAATGATTTTTTAAAGAAGCATTAATAACGAAACCACGAATTAGACAACGAACGAATTAAGCAACGAATCTTTTGCAGCTAAGCTTTTGAAATAGATTGGAAATATACAGACGTGCGTTCCAGGTTTTTGAGTTCATGAATACCTTATATAGACGTGCGTTGTTAATAATTGTAAAAGCCTATTGTGGCTGTGGTGTCAAACTGTGCGGAAGTGCGCCACGTTATGGGAAACGCGACCAATCATTGGTCGCGTCAATTTACCATTTGTCAATTTTTATCATTGGTCAATTTAATCAATTTACCTGACCTGTCGGTACACCATCAAAGACGTCCCCGAAAACCTCCGTGGATGGGTCAGCTTGGGATACTGCGTACTTGCTGTAATGCCGTTTATGCTTCTATCCATTTTTCTCTGGGTGATTTTTTTGACGACACCCTTGGCGTGGCTGGCCGGATTTGTGGCACGGTTAGTCGATATGCATTGTGGCGACAAAGCAGTTTTCACATGCTGCGTGACCTTTATTGTCGTGCACTCCTTATACTGTTGCGGAAGAATGTCGGGGTTGTGGATGCGGGAAAGCTATTTGTGGTCAGTGTGGAACAAAATCAGGTAACGATCGTCAATGTTAAACCTTGTATAGATTATACTTCAATCGACTCGGTCCGTAGTGTTAGTCCTGATGAAATATTTTTTGTGGTAATGCCTCTTATATTTGTATTTGTAAGTAAGTGTGATTAACCCAACAAAATTTATTTTAAGTAAGCAGCAGATTTGGAATTACTTTTCAAAAACAGAATCCCGTAACCCATAACACATTGTTGTAAACTGCGTTGACTGCGCAGAATATCACGCGATTGCCAACCAGCTCCATTCAAACTGCCTGCAGACTCCAGCGTGTGCTACGAAGATAAATCCGATGCACATATTATTCGATCCTGGGAAGTGTGGTTTGGACTATTTTTGTACGGTACAGGCGTGACCGCCATCGTGGATTCGCTGTGGGAAACCTCGGTTGATTATTGCCAATGAGCCAACCTCTACATAACTCGCGCTTCCCATAGCACGAACCGCGCTGGCCAGGATTCGGCTGATTTTCCTGCTGTGAATAGATAAATTCACAACTTAACAAACTCAAGTGTGTCAACGTAGGCTCCGCTGATTTCTCAGGAACCGACACTCCACCGCTTCGTACATACAAGAGTGCATACTGTACAGTACTGTACGTAATGTACAACTACGTTATTCAGATACCGTAATTATCGAATTAAGTTACAAATGACCACGTGCTCAATTACATGGGCTTGTACTTCAAACCAGCTTATACTTTAGTATTTACCCATATTTGCTTATAACTCAAACGACAATTACTTGTAGCTTCAGATAATTACGGTACATCTGCAGTAGAGATTTAGCACCAGAAGACTTACAGTAATTTTACACTAGAAAATAATAATACCAAACATTTAAAAACTAAAAAATAAGTAAATGCGAAATGTAGGAGGACTTGAGGATTGCACAGAGTCCAAATTTTAGCTCGGTATTTCCGGTTTCAAAAGCCCATTGCACTCATTGGGCTGCAGACTATCTGCCTGTCGTGGACTGGGTGTCAGTTTACGGAAACGGCGAAGATACGGTTCATAGCGGCCTTCTTTCCATTGCCTTTGTACATGGCGTATCCACACATAATACATCCATACAAGAATTCCGGTCAGTACCAGAAGAACGCCGGGCAGCTGCAGGTGTTCCGGGAGAAAGAACTGCGCCAGGGGCCACGGTAGCGCTGCCCACATCAGCGGTCGGGCAAAGATAATAATAGCAAAACGGTCGACCCACACTGCCGTTACGCACGCGCAATGGGTCGCCTCGGGCCTGTTGAAAGAAAAATCTGCCTTTGGATACAGGTTTTGCGTTACGACTATTCAAGTACTTATGCACATTGTGCCCGGGACCAAGAAATTTAAATTTTCGTTTCAACGCATATTGCGGTGACAAGCGATTCGTTTGCCGAACTCAGTGCTGGCGATTTTGCCCACTGGGTGTGAACTTGTCAAGCATATTCTTATTTTACTCCCAAATTTTGAACCGCGAACCGATTACCATTATTTCTAATTTTACCTAATATCTTCAGAAAAATCTTTACCAGTATTTTTTATGCGAAAAATCTGCTGAGCGCGTTATCAGAAGTTTTAGCGAGTGCACCTGAATGTGAATTCCTTCTTGAGGCCACTTCCCTAGAGTACTTGTACGCGCGATTTACCACAGTTGGCTGTAAATAACAGGAAAAATGGTTGTATCATTAGCATACCTCTTCTTAGCCGCTTGCGCAGGTTTAGCCCAGCGATTCCTCTTGGGACAGCACCTGCCGCGTATACAACAAACGATGCAGGCTACGATCGCCACTGCGACACCTACAGCTTCCGCAGCTGCCAGCAGTATCCAGGGTAAAAGTCCCATGAAGACAACTGTACCGCCCCATGCCAGAAAAGCGATTCCTATTGGTTGCGAAATAACCGTTAAATCTGATGAAACGGTCAGGTTGGTTGTGTTTCCCAGGTTATTGCTGATATCCACCCAGTACGAAACTAGTGCCGCAAAAGGCCGTACCATCTGTAGCATACCATGATTGTTAGAGTTTTACAATGCTTCCAAAGTCGATGAAAAAGCGTAGCAGCATTTGAAATACCGGTATTTATGTTTCAGTAAATATGATTCCAATACTAACAAATACATCTTTTAGGTATGCTTTCCCAACTCGTGTTTACCCAGGCGGCTCGGCTTTTTGGTATGTAATTAATAACTCTGAATCTATTGCATAGTTCTTCATACAGTTCTGATCCATACGTGATTCTACTCGTATATGTGTACTCGTATATTGATACTGCACGAGCCTTATATAGATATAATATAGAATTTATTTTAATGTATCGTATAGATATGGATCATAATTATGATCCATATTTTTACGATACTGCCAAAGTCCACAACCGGGCTAACATAAGTAAGAAACGCGGACGTCGGTACATAAAATTTAATAGTTTTTGTTCACCATGGTACATGCTACAATCTGCAAATTTTCCATGGTTTACTTACATAATTGTCCGCCGAAGAATTGAGAGTGCAGCTCACTGCAGCGCCGATAGCCCAAGGCTTAAAATCGGCCAACGCGGGACTTTGCGGAAAGGCTTGGACCAGAGAATACGAGTTTAGGTATACACCAAGCCCGAAGGTTAAGAGCCCAATCCATGCTTCGTATTCTCGCACCACCTCCGTATCTGACCCTAAGGCCTTTGGAACGGGTATTGTTGGCAGCGGTTTACGTCTGCATAAAGCCCTAGGTAATAGGGAATTTGTAATCACTAACTGTAGTACTGTACACGCCTTGCAGCTGCAGGTCTGCAATTGTAATTTCGTGTTCACTATTTGATTATTCCGGTTATACAGTTTTTGGACCGTGGACTAGATGTGACAGTTATCCGTTTACTTGATCCTATACCGATGTTTCTGTATGTAATGAAACTGTATATGCCAGCTGCTACCTTATTTGACTGCAAAAAGAGGATAGATAGCTCTCTCGCATCCACAATCGCCACATCCTCCCACAGCAGTATATGGATAGTACCGTCATAAAGGTCACGCAGAAGGGAAAAATCACTTGCTCGCCCAACAGCGTTACGAAGGATAGTGTGATGATTCCAGCCAACCACACCAACGGTATGGTCAATACTGCGGCCCACAGAAATAACGCCAGATATACGAACGGAAACCAAACCAAAGCAAAGAACGCGACACATATCACGGTTTGCCATCGTTCGGGTAGATCTTCAATTCTGCGACAGGCACGTTTCTGCTTCTCGCCTTGGGACGGAGTGGTATCAGCGATCACAACGGTGATCGCTCCAGTGGTGTCCTCGCTGCCATTATTATTCGGTGATTCGGATGAGGGGATCAAAGCGACCGGGGTTCACAGGAGTATCGCTATCGGGAGAACCAAAAAAACGGCTGATGGTTTGGCAGAGTGGTAGGTGCTGTGATGGATAACCGGGCAACCGCCAGTAACGATTGGCCCATAGATAACAACAAAAGGAAACGAAGAGCGTCCCCGTTGCGAAAAACAACAAATATGTTCCGATGAAGCCAAAGTTAATTCTGATCTCGCTTAGGCTTTCCGTGGACTGGCCGGAGGCTTCCCAATAAGACATGACCCGATCCCAAAAACATCCATTCGTTTCCTGCCAGAAAATACGGTAAATGCAATTCGGATTTATAGCATTTTAAGTAACCTTCGAAAGGAAAGGCGCGCGCAAACAGAATTCTCATTACTATTAATATTTACAAAAATGTGCCAAGACGAACGTGAGGAGGTGTTAGTGTAACTTTAAATAAACCACTACAGATGACGTTTTTATCGGCATCAGCCTACACACATAACAATACGCCTGCGCGGATTTACACTAAGTAAAATGATAAAATTAAGGGCAGTCGATTGCCTCAACCGTGTACGGCTGCAGCGGGCGGTTGTCAGGCGACAGCAAAACGCCATTCTGTGTTATAAAATTGGTCGCCTCGTCGTTACTTTCTCCATTGACTTCTGTGTCAAACTCAAACACTTGCACCTCGTTTATTTCTCAGAATTACCTATCCGATATCTTAAAAGATAGGGAAAAATAAAGAAGATTTCTGAACCAAAAAGGTGCTACAGAAAGCAAATAAGACAATATAGAGCCATTAGGGATTTCTCGTAGACAAAGCACTGAATGCATGGTCAAGGTGTACGCAGAGATCCTATTCTATGTCTACGAGAACCTGAAATGGGAACATCTTGGCATAATCACTATCAGTGGCACCTTGTTTGGTATCGAAAAACGTCTTAACGCGAGGTTCCCAGTGGTTCGGTCCCTTTGCGGTAACTCTTATAACACGGTCATAGCACGACTTTACATCAAACGCACTTGACGATATATCAGGAAAATGATTTTACTACATTATAGCGTTAGCAAAAAGTTTATTTTGTTCACAGTAAACTAATTGTGAAGTTTTAAAGTCAAAAATTTTAGGGTGAAATTTACTGAGTACTGTTCATCCAAAAAAAGTTTGGGAAACGCTTTTCGGTGCGGAAACAGTGTGAAAGCTTATCACACATTGGAAATTTCAATATCATTCCTATTAAAAATTTAAAGTGCAAAAAACCGATCCAGGGGTGGTGGGGTGGTGCCGCCCCTGAACGTTTTCTGCTATAACTCTCAAAGCATACAGGATATCAAAAAACGGTATGTGTAACAAGCTCAGCAGGTAGCGCTCGATTTAATGACACTTTTTGAGTAATTTTTTGATAACGCGTTGATTTGATGTGAAATTAAGTTTGATTTCTCACGAAACGCGTTTAAAGTCTATCGTGGTTTGTTGCGCTATGTTCAGTACAGAAAATCTACAGCTGGAACGCTGAGTGAAGCAAATGAAAGGACAGAAGGGCTGGAGACTGCCGACGCGCACGCCGCATGCAGAGACAATAGCCGTCGGTCAACTAAGTTATCACACCATCCTGTCACTAATTGCTTCGGCTCAGCATTCCTTTGAAACGGCTGATTACTTCACCTGCGCTAACAATAGCTTTGCATCAGAATCCCATCCATCGCTCTTGACTATAAAAGACCTGATTCATAACCCGGATAGTCTAAAGGCAGCGCTAGCCGATTTTTCTCTGTTGAACAGCGCTTCCCCCTACGGCACTCATAACGGAAAATCGTTTTTTAACGTAAACAACTTTTTTACATACATGATAGCGCCATATTCTGATAGAGGAGACTTTATTCTTTACAATGAGCTATAAACCCCAAAATGAATTTCCACTGGGAACCTCGCGTTAATTTTTTCTGTATCTTTGGAGATATCGGTTGCGTTTTTACATTCAGAAATCCGTAAGACACAAGTCGATGAGCTTAACGTATAAGTCTATGGGATGGAACACTGTGAGGCGACCAATTTCATAGCATTGCACGCTGTTTTGCCAGCCGCCCAGGGAGGCGTACACGGTTGAGGCAATCGACTGCCCTTAATTTAAATACAGATTGTTAATGTGGATCGAAGTATCTTCAATTTAAAAGTACAGTAGCAATGCTAGAAGCAATTATTTCTTTAGAAAAATGTCCTAATTTTTGCATCTATAACACTGAACCGCAGCAAGTAAGGCAGAAGAATTTATTATATTCACTTACATATCCAAGAAAACCCAAAACGCTGTCGAAGTACGTTGCCTCACGTAGATCGGCTCTGGTTGGTTTCCAACTGGGGAGTACGCGAGCGGCAAATATCACCGACAACTGACAAGCTATCCACAACACTACACAACTTTCTGCTACGATTTCCTGATAAACCCAACAAAGATCTCTCGTCAGAACATTAATTAAATCTCGACAAAATGTCTTCATTTTTGAATTAATGTGGGACCGTGGTTCAGTTTATAGAATAATTATAAACTAATAATGATAATTGTATTAACCCAAACTAACCATGTAACGAACCTCGATCGTCCGTACACTATAATGGTATTAGCCCCATTCGGTTGTTTGAAGTTTCTGCAACAATTGTACTCGTACTCTAGTTTACAACTGTGTTACGATCGATCGCGGCAACACGCGGCCAGCTGTTCCCGTGTGCTCCCCTTTTATATGGCTTTACTACAGCGTGTTATGAAGTACATATACGGGCTTCTATGATTCTGCGCCTGGATACATCATATTGTACAGCTGCTTAGTACTCGTAGTACGGTCGCTCGGAATTACGGATCCTGGCTTTATGTGCTGTTGTGGCATTGCAGTTCACACCCTTTATCGATTAATTCGATTGCTTTTTTCTCTTGTACACGATGATAAACTACACAGGAATGACCGTACAGTAACATCCGCTATCGGCTTCATTATATGGACAAAAAATAACCATTGCCAAATACGTTTTTAATTATGATATGTAGTAAACATAGAATTTCTTTTATTGAGCAAAAGCCGTTCACATAGCTAATTTAATAGGCCGTACGCATAATGCTACGTAAACGATTCAAATTTATACACGTTAAAAACAACCAAAAATTGTTAGCGCCGTCTGACATTTTGGTACGCACATCCACTGTGCGTCCCCAAACATTCAATTAGTAGTGTACGTGCTACATACCGTTAGTACATAGTACTCATGATAGTAGTGATACTGATACAAGTACTGTACATACCTGCAGTTTATCACATTCTCACTCTCCAAACCGGCGTTTACAACTCAACCGGAAGTTACACAGTTCTGAACTATTATGTATACTCGTGCCTTTTCGTAAAGTCATTGTGACAATTTGTTGCGCCGGAAGTTGTAGGCAACATCAGACAATCTTGCAATCATACTAAGAAAACTGCATCACGTACTGAATTTATCGAATAATTTCTTGGCAAGTCATAGATGATTTTCAGATTTCTAATGCATTTTTCCCAAATAAGTCTAACACACATCGTGGCGTTTATTCATCTGCAGAATTCTCATAACAGTGTGGCAAGAACGTAGCATAAAAAAGAACAAAAAGGCGCGATTATTCCTTACCGTATAAACTTCAATAAAAGCAAGCGGCATTATTGTTTTCAGCGAGATCAAAAAGTTCTGTGAAAGCGAAATAATGGACAAGGGACGGAAAACCTGTCTTCCCCAATGAAGGAACCAGCAAAAGCAAAGCGGTAACACAGTAAAACAGCATCAAAATAAAATAAAAAAAATAAAATACAAACTAATTCCACTGCAAAACAACAATCTCCAGTAGAAGGGCCATCATCCCGATTTCGCACTGCCACCATCAGTACCACTCTTCCCGCTCTCATCCCCTTCGTTGCGCAACAGATTCCACAAGAACACCACAAACAACAAATACAACCACAACGTGTACATCGTCAGCATCACCAACAACCCCGGGAACTGCAGCCATTCCGGGAGAAACAGCTCCGCCAGGGAAACGGCAGGAACCGCCAGAACGCCAGCTGCCCAATGATGATGGGCAGATCGTCGTTCAGCATGTACCACAACGGGCACAGGCAGCGGGGTTCCGCCAGGGCGGTCCACATCCGACACTGCCAGCAGGGGTCCTCGGGGGTGGCGTTGGAGAAGGGCAGGGCCAGGGCGCAACACCGCTGCGCTGTTGGGGAAACGGGGACGCCGTGGGGAACGGGAGGGGAGAGGGGTTCGTGGGGTTTAATTGGCAGAGACTGCGGTCTTCCCATTTCTCCCGGCTGCGACTGGCCAGCCGTTTCTCTTTGGCCAGTTGGCGCAGTTGTTTCTCTTCGGTTTTGTCGTGGTGTCGGCTTTTGGTTGGTTTGTCTTTTATGTTATTGTGGCGGGAATGTTTGTCGTCGGAGTTGGCACTGTCGGCGACTCCTTTCTTCTTGGCTAGCTTTGCGCTACAAACAGTAAACATAAAAAATAAGAAACAGAAAACAAATTTCGGACAGTTTCTCTGTCATTGTCCGTCATTCTGAAGCTGAATGATTTTGTATACAATGGCGTGAAAACCGTTCAATCACGCAACTTCCGGTGGCCGTATATCACGGCAAGAAAACCACAAAGTTTAAACGTGTTGCCCTGCACGGAAAGTCAGGTTACTATCCGATCTTCTCGAACTTTGCTGTAAAAGGAGCAGTTTTATGGAGTTTTTCTCAGATTGGAAAGTAAATTTTAAAAAAAATTGTAACACATTTACAAAAAATTTCAATTTCAAAAATTTTTTTACTGTATTCATTATGGAGTGCGCGCTAATGATATACAGATTTCTACGTTGTCGAAAAGCGAAAGTAAGGCACAAAGTAGGCTAATTCGATAGAAGAAATGCCAAACATTGACAATGAAGCTGATTATAATAGTATGGCTAGAAACCGGTAACGATGATTTAGAAGAATGGTTGCTTACCGTTTGGGATACTTCCCGTCTGAGGAGTCCATGCAGGCGGTCATGCAGGCCAGAAGGATACAGCCACCCAGTAGAAAGCACATCACGATATGCGGCAGAACAGTCACGAGCCGCAGGCCCGTACCCCACGCGGAATACACCGGACCCAGCATCTGTCCGAAGCCGGCACTTCCCCATGTGAAACTCAGCACACCGAGGTCTTCCTCATCTACTTCAGCAGCTAGGTCCTTGTCGTTCCAGTACGATAACATGGCACTGGGATAATCCAAACCCTGTGCAAAATCAACGAATTACATTATATACTTCGCAGTTTTTCGCATTCCCGACATTTTCACAATATATTTCGAATTTTGACAAGAATAATATTATCACGTACCGGACACCACAGACACGGTATTCTCCGCGTTTTTCCACACGGCAAAAACTTTTCAAAAATTGATTACGTGATAATTATTGTTCTTATACAAGCTTGTACACGAGATTAATCAAACATTAGTTTAATGCGGAGCAATGCAAAGAATACCATGTTTCTGGTGACCGATATGCGAATCGATATGGCGAAAGTGTCCGGAAGACGAAAAACGTCGAAGTACAATCAAGGTTTCATTGCAGTCTTGTAAAGTTTCCGCCAGTCAATGTCGGATGCGTTGGAAAACATTTTCATTAGGAAAGTCCTTACCTTAGCGAGATTTTTTGTCCGCCAAAACAATTCGGACATCCCGGTGCAGTTGGCAATTTTCTCCGGAGTAGTGGACGCCGCCAATAAGGAGGACACACTGCGGTGAACCGCCCAGCAGCCGTTCAGCAGAATAATCGCGCGCATCGTGAAGATGAGACGCGGTGTGCGCTCAGCGGTTAACGGCTCCACCGGCGGCGCGTCCAGTAATTTGTTGAGGGAACCCAGGTCGCTCTGCGGTAGGATGCCACCGAAAAGGTTCTTCAAGAACGTAGCCACCCACTGCGTCGGGGAGGTTCTGCCGGTCGTCGTGCTAAAAATAAAAATCAAGCATATCGTGCTAAAAATAAAAATCAAGCATAACAAATTAAAGTCTTTACCACTGACACGACTAAGGGTACAAATTCAATTTCTGTTTAATATATTTTTAAAAAAATTTAAATCGAATTATCAATTTTTTAATTTCCTCTACTCTTTGAAAATTATACACTTCGCGTTCTGATTGCGTGCGCGCAATCGTGAATTGTACACTATAGTACTTGAATTTTTTTAAGCAATGGGCATTTCAACGCGCGGTTATTTGAAGTATTGTATGACGTTAGTGGACGTCAGCAGCGCTCGTAATTTTCGTTTCAAAGATTTTTTAATACATATGATTACGGATTTAATTTTAACGTAATATTTTTCACTGTACGTACTTTATCCTGAAATAAAATAACGCCTGATCGATTTTGGTAACGTTACGGTTAAAGTATTTCACGCGTTGCACTGGGATCGAATTTTTCCGTTTTAATTTGTTGAATTATTTCTTACGACACGGCAAAAAAATAAAATAAAATAGGAAAATAAAATATGTAGGATACAGAATGACGTAGGAAAAAAATACGAACAAGATACTAAATAACTACTGATTAAAATACTGAATAAAATGACGTAGGAATAAACTTATCAACTACATAAATAATAATTATACGTAATATTTATTAAAAGAACTGCACTTCATGAAATACGTCGAATCGGAAGCGCTTTATTTTCACCGATAATTCGTAAAACAAGCATACGTACGTGGAACTGAACAGCCGGCTGAAATACGTCTCCTGCATCCACCAGCCCCATATCCGTCCGGTACAGTGCACCGCCAACAACGACACCACCCCCACGCCCACAGGGAACACCGCTTCCACGTCGAATAACCCCACCAACACCCATACGAATATCCCGGTGACGGCCAACAGCGGCAGGGAGCACAGCACCAGGATGCAGCACACCCACACCAACCCGGGCAGGAACCAGATCCCGTACAGCACCAACCGGATCACACCCACCCACCGCACCGACCCGGTGAGGTCCTCGATGAACTCCAGGAGGGCGGTGAGTTGGCTGCAGATGTGGACGCCGTGGCGCCAGCGGAACTGGCGCCAGTGGAAGTTGTAGAAGAGCGAGAAGACGATGGAGACAGCCAGTAGGGCGGTGGTGCTGTATAATAAAAGGGTGCCGTAGTAGCCGACGGCCGGGGCGGTGGCGGACGGCCGTGTGGAGCCATATGTGGGATCCGCGAGGAATTTCTTCCAGGCGTAGGCCGTTCGGTCCCATATGCACTCGTTGATACCCTACGAAAAATTCACTTATTAACTGAGAGATTTCAGTAGCCATCAAAATAGTAACTAAAGGTGCCAGCTCTGACACACTATGTCATAGTTAAAATTTAAATTGACAAAGCAATCAAACAGTATCCATCACGACCGTTGCATTGCTTTTAATGACAGCCCAAACTTAACACACTTCTTCAGTCTGTTAGCAAATTATTTTTCGGATTTCTGGAGAATAGTAAAGGTTTCCACCATGCACTAACGGATAAAAAAGGTTTTGATTTGAACATTCTTTAACAGAAATAAATTACCCCTGGGAGCGTACCACGTCCCATTAAAATAAATTACCGCGTTACATTTGTTTTTACAAAACAAGACTGTAATTACTTTAATAGTCATATTTTTTTTTAATTTTTTCGGAACGCAGGCAATGTAGATGGCGCGGCCGTTGAGCAAATCATGAGATTGAAACACAAAATTTATTGTACATTACCAAATAACTTAAATTTACTGTACTGTAAATTAAAATTTACTTTGAAATGTTTAAATTTACTTCACAAGCCAATAACAGTGTATTGTAGTCACTGTAATGAAACAAACTGCTTGCGTTAAATTCCGCAAATGCGGTGGCTACATTCTGTACGGCATTTCTCCACCACCTAAACAAAATTTTATTTTAAATTTGTTTGACTGAAGTACGTCCGGATGAGCAAACTCAAAGGCGCGGCGAGCGAAGTCAAATGTTTATCATTAACAACGAGTTACGACATACAGTATAAATACGCACTCATATTTCAAAGTCACGCGATGTCTTTCATCAGGGAGAGCCTGTCTAAATTCACAATAAAAAACACTGCTGCTGAAGAGCTTAAGAACATTTTTAGGCTTTATAAACTTCGATGCTACATATAACTGATATAAGCATCAAGAAAATTGAATTTAGAGGGAACATTTAGAGAACTACATTACAAGCAATTTAGGAAACAGAAATGAATTCAGAACCAAAGCTATAAGGGACAGACAGCGCTGATCCAACGGATTAGAACCACTAGAAAAAATTATTTCACTTACAAATCCGAAACGTTGCAGGAACGTGTCGAGCTCCGTAACAGCATTGGGATGCACCCGACTACTCTGCCATTCGACAAAGAATCGCTGGCCCAGTTTAATGGAGATCTGACTGGCGAACCACAGCACGATTAGCGCCTCGAAAATGATCTCCTGATAGACCCAACACCCCCCTTTATCCAGATAGGAACGCAGCGAGCGCATCGTTTCTCCCCCTCTACACAATCACATTCCAAAATACCACATAATTATCACAAATTTCCTGCGGTAATTGCGTGGGGAACAGTAAAGAACTGGGCAAAACAACGTCTTTACTCTGGCCGCACAAATAGTCCTTCAACTGACTAATGCTGTTCGTCAACTGGTGTGCACTGTGCAGTTAGATAGGTAAGGTGCGCCCGCGGGGGTTTATGCGCCGCACTGCTGCGCGGCCGGCATGATACATCCGCGTACAATTATTGTGGAGTGGCATTAATTTTTGGCTGCAAGCGTTAGCATCTGATTAGATTTTCCTGTTGCATACTCGCACCGCACCACGGTATTTTTAATAGCCGGAATTTAACACGAGAGAATGTACCGTACGCACGCATTCTAATCAGCTGACACATAGCTCCTGATCGACAACACGGAGCATACAGCCGTTACGCTGCATGCTTCCGGCTGCCGCATATTACAGCGTGTACATGTATTATTGAACTGTACTGTTTTAAATGCTGACGTTGCGAGTTTGCGTGTTCACTAAAAGTCTCTCCCCTTCGAGTAGAAGTATAAGACTTAGGTTAGTAGTAGCTGCAAGTTTGCAACGCCCAGCATTATTTGTAGCTTATTAGGCCTTATTCTCTGGCCAGAGTATGCTCCGTACAGTACACACCCCTATAGTACGAGTTATGTATACTGCGAATGACGGGGAATTATTTCCATGACTTCCAAGGATTATCGGGATAGTAGTCGTTATACTTTCGTATACATATAAATATAGGGAAGTAAATTGCATTACGGTCGCGCCGTCTCGAATTCGGAAAGTGCGAATTAACTAATCCTGGTTTCACCAAATTATTATCACGTTAAAGAGACGCCAAATTATCCGATCTCTTCGAAAACGTCCCCATTTCCCCACAACCGCCGCGATTAAATATTTATGCAACCATGGAAAATTATTTCTTGCTGTTTAAGATTCAAAAATCAATAAGAAAAAGCCAAGAGATATTGGAAGCGCTTGAGAAAGAATGCTTTGTTAAATGGTTGCGATCTATTTGGGACCGTATACTAGGCTATTTCCATTTTTAACAGACCATACAGTTTTGTGATTATGCTTACATTATTATTATTATGACCATGGGTACATATTTGAGATAAAGAATTTGTTTCCATAGAATTTTTTGACTGAGTCATTAAAAGGCAACTTATAATCAGACGGCAAAAAAATAAAGAGGCCGGCAGCACAACACGTCGGATCAAACTGATAGGTCGAATAGCAATGATATCCCAGTTGAGCGGAAATTCTAATTGTCCATCTAAGAGTGAGTCTTGTAATTCACGATGGCGATCGCGATTCCTAACCGTGCGATATCGTAATGGTAGGTGAATTTACGGACTCGTAAGTCACAAAACTGACAAATGCCATGCTGTAGCAAATGACACACCGTGCGATCGCTTTCGCAACTGCGATCACACACCTGCTAGTGTCCAGAAATCAAAAGTGTAATGCAAATGTACCGGAACCGGAAACAGCACTACTTCGACATTTGTCGAAGTGTGTAACTGGCTTTTCGCAATGTACGAATGTAGTATTCCTCTGTATTATGTTCATGGAAACGTTTTAAATTTAAAAAAAATTTTCTGGCAGTCAACATCAGTTAGTAAGTCTGCAGCTGCTTCGAAATGCTGCTGCAATTTAAAATAAGGTTACTTCTCACCTACTAGACAGAACAAAAAGGGGATTGATTATTGTACCCATTGATTACCGGGAAGTTTTACAAATTACTAAAGGAATAAAACAACGTCTGTTTGATTTTAGGTTTTTGAATTTGCTACGCTAAAACAGCTGGAAACCCTAAATAGCACGTGTTCTACGTAGCTATCTAGCAACGTAAGAATAGCATGTGCCATGACGCATGCTGTAAAATCAAACAAATTAAATAAACTCTAACATCAGCAGCATTTTTTTAAGGTTTCCTCATACTCCCGGCCACGGCAAGATATGCTGGATTTCCCCCATGAAACTGTTTGTGATGCGTATTCTTGTATTATGCATACATGGTGTTGCAGAGCAATCCCCCGATCTGGTTATGCAGCTATCCCTTACGTTTAAGTTCTAATGGGGAACGAGTATAGAACAAAACAGATAAAAATAACTGTGAATTTGCAATTCTTTTAAAACTTTAAAATTTGTAATGAAATGGTCAGAGGCAACCATGTACTTTGTAATTCTCTTTACAACCCTAGGATTGTATGCGCAGGCCTGCGCATATATACCTACGTAAAAGTAAGAACAATTTCCGCTTATATCTGTTTGCGTCACACTTGACCTTTACGACATCGGCAAATCACTGTTTTCGAGCTGTGTTCCATTGCAAACAGCATTGTTTTTGATGTGGCACAACATGCAAAAACCGCAGTTCGTGCCAGTTTAATTCCCCGGAGACTTACCGCGCTTGCTTAAGATTCTCCGGTTCTATTGAGTATTGGTAACTGTGTAGTGTACATATTTGAAGGAATTGTGGTGCTGGCGGTATTTCCTCTAGACTCAGCAAAACTGACGGTCCCGCCCAAAAGCTTTTCTAGATTTGGGTCGAGCCGTTGGGATTTTATCAAAGTTATGCATTTCTCACTGTTCAGTAATTAAATAAATTACGGTAATGGCACTATTTCCTCGTCCAAAAATTACCAACTGTCTGTGTTACATATTATTGCACATTACGGATGCAGTTTACGGCAGTGTTAATTTATTGTAAACCTATCATCGCGATAGAACCAAGAAGTTATCGCTGAAGTTTAAATGCCGCTAAAGCATTATATTATTCGCATGCAACACACGAATTATACCAATAATCGTAATAACATTTTTTATGGTTGGTTCAGCATGTGCCACAGGCTACGCGGAATCTAGGTATGTGTGTACCGACTACCGAGTCAGCAAAATTGGGGAATCACAAAAATTACTGTAGTGTTCTCGTGGTCAGAGAACCGGAAAATAAAAGGAGTCAAGATCGCCACGAAGAGCATAATTGTGTCTGTGGACATTCAAACGATTACTCGTATACGAACGGACGTTTCAGATATTCATATTGGCTTTTGATTAGAACTGCGGGAACCTCCAAAGCATTCAAGCAATCAAAAACATATCATTAGCAGAAGCAGTATACTACAGAAAAGCAACCTGCGGAGAATAGCCACTATTATATATCGAACAGAAATCTGATATATGTATACTTCTATCCAATAAAATCATAGATGCGCAAAAATTCAGATATTAAACCGTCAAACAGAAGTAACGTTAAGAATTGCGGAGTCATTATTCGCATGCGCTTTTTCTTCAAGTTTCAAAGCATCCAACATGTCGAAGAACGCCTTTCTCTTATCCCATACGGCTTCCTCGTGACGTTGCTTGTCACGGCGACTGTCCAGAAAGCGCCACTGCACCCACACCCACAGCACGCTCCACAGCAGCAGAATACCGGGCACTTGCAGGCGTTCTGCTAAGACCAACGCCGCAACGGGAAACGGTAGCTGCGACCAGGCGAGACATTCCTTAGCGTAAACAAAGATACCACCCATCGTGTCGGCAGCGGTTTCGCATGTACAGTGCAGCGGCATACGCTAGCCACCGCAGAGCGAACAATCCCAACGGACTCCTCGCAAGCCATATACATCGGGCACATTCTCATCGGTGTGACCGGTGTTAACTTTGCTCCATTCAGCACACAGTTTACACTCGTCAGGAGGTGTGGCTGTGGTCGACAGGGTCGTTGTACCCGCATCCACCGTTTCCTTGACATCATCTTGTAACGCTTCCGGATCGTCCCTGCAAAAAATGAAAAAATAATTGTTTATGCTAACAGATAATAACTAAAATTCTGGATCTATAGATTTGCAACTTTGTCAAAGAAATTTTTCCGGCAAAAGTGATTTGATGAAAACTGTCAAAGGAAAAACACATCGTCGCGAGTAGTCGCTCCGGGAAAAGCTGCAGAAGAATAGCGACTTGCACTTTTAGAAGCCGAGTTTTTCTGCACTCACTCTTCGTCGTCCAACCGACCAGTTAGTAGCCAATATAATTCCAAGCACTTCCAGTACAAATCAACCATACGACGACGCAGAATAGGCCCGACCGTATTGACAAATCCGATTAAAATTGGGGAGAGCACAACTGCGGTTAAAAGAGCACCGCTCCAGGCCAGGAACGCATATCCAAGGATCCAGGAATACGGAGAGAGCCGCCCCCGAAAATGGTCGTATCCGTACAAATTACGGTAATCCAGCGCTGCCCAGTAAGAAAGCATTGCCGGTGTGCGTCCAAGACCCTGGAAAACTTCTCGGTTGGACATTCAACTAAACGATCGCCGAAAGGCGCGATTCAAGTATTACGTAACGGAATTTTAGACCCTTTTCTACCACCCTACCGTTCGATATAACGCTGGCATAACAAATTTTTTCACCACCCTACCGCTTACGTAATGGCCGGTCTGACCCCCCCCCCCCCTACCAATAAAAAAATTTATTTTTCAAGTTTTCCATTTATATAGCGTACACGGTGGTTAACGATGGTTAAAGTCGACCGTGCGACAGGCCCACAGATAGCATAGCAGCACAATAATACTTTTTGCAGAAAACACGCTGATACCCACAGAACGCTGAAAAACTGAACACAATCTAGAAAGAAGTAAGAACCAAACACAATTTTTTTATTTTCTTGGATAAATCCGATTCCTATTTCTTTCTGTGTTAAACGTAACAGTGTTTAGATGTCACGTAACAGAAGCGGTTGACCCCCCCACCCCATGTAACAAATGCATAACGGATCGCATAACTACCCCCCTACCGGGTCAGTGTTACGTAATACTTGAATCGCGCCAAAGTATATATACGAATACTCTTGATTCTTATCTGGTGCTGCCACTTGATGGTGCTGCCACTTGATGGTGCTGCCACTTGATGGTGCTGCCACTAATCGGACGCTGGAAAAAAATTTAATGCAAGTACGGTTCAAATTGATTTCAAATGCAAGTGCGCAGATACCGGTATAACTGATACACACACATAGATAGTATTATACGAGTATTATATATATATAGTACATATATATAGTATTATACATATATATAGTATTACATAACTGTTGCAAAATGTTTGGAACGCTTGAAGTTAGAGGTACCAACGAGAAAAAAAAGCTTGTTTCAATAAATTTGTGCATGTACAATGTACAATGTACGTACGGATACGTATGCACAAATACATACTGGTATTCTGGTATTGCAGTTTCGTCACCATAACCAAACAAAAGTTTCAGGCTTT